ACATTTTAAAAGTCCAACATATTTAATTGGTTTCCCACCGATTGCCCTATATCTAGATGTGATCTCCTTGGTCGAACTGATCAGTTTCTTTGGGACAGCAGACTTTTTGATGAAGCTAGCCGGACTACCGGTATCAAAGAGACTGCAAATAGAGTTAGCAACTACTTCCCTACCCAACTTAAATTCTATTCTTACATAGTTATATACGCCGACCGCAGTGAAGTCATCATCGTCATCGTCTACGGCACCAACTTCGTCCTTTCGCTTCAATATTTTCCTAGGGTTCGGGCAGTTCCGATGCTCATGTCCCGTTTTCCAGCATTTAAAACAGGACCCGTCTGGCCTTAATGGAAATGGGCAGTTCGGCTTAGTATGGCCGTACTGGGAACAATTGTATTTTTTTTTCCTTCGGTCCTTTGTTTCGTTGCAACCTGGGTTCTTGGCGTCGGCACGGGCTGCGAACCGCTTTGCACGAAATACTTGTTTTGGTATCGGTTTATTAACCGCTTCAATTCTTCTATGGTTCGTGCCGTCAACAGCAGGTGTACATTGGGAACCATTTTCCCTATGCCCTCAATTATAAAGTCGATGACTTCCGCCTCTTCGATGTTCGCCCTCTTCGCAATTGCCTGCATATTCAAAACGTAGCAGTGCAGCGTTTCCTCCTTTTTCTTCCAACGCCTTTGCGCCAGCATTTTGTAAATATCTTGCCTACCGACTGCAAAGCTGAACTCCTTTATCAGCGCACGTCTTAGGGCGTCATAGCCCAGTGCCGTTGTTGTTGTAAGAAATACTCTTGCCGTCCCAGTCAGGCAGCGACGAAGGGCAAGCAACTTAAAATTTCCATCAGCTCCTGTCGAGTCCAAAATTTCTTCAAAATCGCGTAAGAAGTGGTCGACGGGGTATGCAATGTCGTCCCCACTAAATTTGGGCAACGCATGCTCCACATCTCCAAAGTCTAGCCGTCGTCGACCCTTGGCGGCAGAGGGATTCTCCAGTGCCTCAATTTGTTGCACGAGCTTTAACATCTCAAGGCGTTTTTGAAGGGCCCGCACTTCCTCGTCATAATCGGTAGCAGTACAGACGTTAGCAACGGCATTGGTAGCGGCGCTGTCGGCATTGGTGATGGAACCAGCGGCAGTGCCAACGGCATAAGTGACATAGTTAGTGGTAGCTCCGACGGCAGTATTAACATTAGTGACGGCATTAGTGGCGGCGCTGACAGAATTGGTAGCGGCACAGACGGCAGTGGTGGTGGAACCAGCGGCAGTTTCAACGGCAGAAGTGGTATTGATGGCGGCACCGACGGCATTGTTGGCAGTATCGGCACTAGCGGCAATATCACTACCGGCAACAGTATCAGCAGCATCGGAACCACGACTGAATCCTCGGCATGTTCGCTGTGCACCACACTACGCAGTAAATTGCGCAACTGGATCGTTGTTGCTGATGGTGGAAAATCCACATAGGCCTCGGTAAGACCGTCAATTAAATTTTGCCTGGGATTGGCCGTTTCCAAAATATATAGCTTTGCGGTATAAATGGGTTTAATCCAACACCTGAAGTTATAAACCACTTACTTTTAGTGGGTAAATTAATTGATCAACCACGATTTAATAATTCGCGAGAAAAAGCAACCAGCTCGTTGTAATCCTTTTCCGGAAGTGTCCGGCCATCTTTATTTTATTTGACATCAGGATTGCCAACATCTAAATTATTACATAATATATTACAGGGTTGCCACTATATTATACTATATTAACTCAAACTTATACTAGGTTTACACTGGTTCTACATTAGCCTAAGCTTACACTAGGTTTACAGTGTAAAATATCTTTTTTACCACCCGCCATTGGGTGTACTGCGTGTAGGTTCCATCCGGCGCAACGAAGGGGTTGTCTGGATCGCTGTAATGCTTAGTTGGTACCTATACACATGACCAGACAAGTAATCGTATGCTTTCCAAAAGTCTGCGCGGATCAGGGTACCTTCCCCCACATGCTTTTTAATCAAGGGTATGAGCACCTCCGCTGACCGCACGTTGTCAGGACGCACCTCCAACCTGAAGTCATTACAACCATCCACGATCATCCCCAAGAACCAGAGACCTTCTACCCTCCTCCCTAAAATAAAATATATGCATTCATATACATTAAAATATTTATGTAATTCCTACCAAAAGCTAATTGTCTTTATTTTACTTCCGCTTGCCGAATTTACTTTCTTCGATTTGGACCACCCTCCAGGTCTACCAATGTTTCCTTTTATTCCTGCTGGTCGAATGGAGCCGCAGCTATTATTGTTGTTGTTGCTTCCGTAGTCAGGCCGATCTTTCTTTACATTGAAAACCCACTTTCATCAGAATTTTCGTTTTTCTGCTGATAAATTGACTAAAACCCATTTTTTTTTATTAAAGAGTTATACTTCTGCTGCATTACTTCTCGCCAACGCCCATAATCTTCACTCTTCTCCAGTGTAAAGTTAACATCACAAGCCGCGCGCACTTTAAGTAGGATAATCCTACTAGGATTTTATAAATCGTTATGTTAAGCAAATTGCCTTTCCTGTATATTACTGCACCCAGCTGTCTTAGTATGTCATGCCTGATACCACTGAATCCAGTCAGAGTTGGTAGCACAAAGAATTCGCATCCGGTGAGTTGCCAACGTTTTCGAATAGTTCAATTGTACTTTATCTTTTATTGGCACCTTTTATAAACACTGAAACTTCGTCCATTTTTTTCGGTATACATATATATTTTTTTGAGTTTAGTATAGCTACCAAGCTATAATTTATTTTCCTATATTGCCCACTCTTTCTTCACTACTGGGTCACTGCTCGGGTGCCGGTTAAGACTTTCGGTCCGTTACACTCTAAAAAATTAACTGACCAGCCGCCCTAAAAGAAACGCCGCTTAGTTAAGCATTCACTTAATTTTATTGACACAAAACTCCTCTTAGCTAGCTTAGTTCTAACTGAATGAACTAAGTATAACTACGCAGCGACCAGTCGCGAACTCGACTTCGTTCTCCGGCAGCGGCGGAATTCTTTCATAACTGTTTATAACTCGTTGTCTACTTGAAACAGTTTGGGCATAACTTATGTTTAGGCTCTGGAACTCTGGATACTTGTCAAACCTAAGATAACCTCGCTTGCTCCTTAAGGTGTTCAGCCCGGATACATGATGATATAACACTATTCTCACGACGATTCTCGGCTTGATACAGCAATGCAGCGGCTTGCTTGCCTAGAAATGCCAGCATCTCCACTGCCGTTGGGGTTTCCGATTGCCGCTGAAGCTCCTATACCTTGCCCGTCATCTTATCAAGCCTCTCGTGGAGATTATTTACCACAACCATATACCATTGCCCTTCGGTTGAGCCTCGTGCTCGCAATTGACGCAGTGTCTATTGAAGCACGTTAGACATGCGTGGAAGCGCATCTGATGATGCATGAAATGGTAACCATGCCCATGGTCCCATGCTTCTCGGCAATTTTCGTCGGTTATAACGGTTATAACTGTCTATAAGGTTCTTAAAATTTGATTTCTAATGTCTTCTGCTTTTGAGTTGTGAATCTATTTAATCTCAACGACTCCGGAATCATCTTCGTGAACTTCCACATTATAAAACTGGAAAATGTTGTGCACAGCTGCGTACATATTTACTATTAGTGTTGCTTTTTTATGTACATATAATGAAGAGCTCTCGCCTGCAACAAACATCTGAATCTATTTCTTGAGATTCCAATTGTTCGCTCTATAATATTTATTGCTTGCATGTGGTTTTTTGTACATATATTCTTTGTGGAGATCCGTCGTCAGAATTTCTGAACGGCGTCAAGTATGGTTTTAGAGCGTAACCAGCATCACCTAACGTGGATAAAAATAATTAAAAAAAGAGAATACATATAGGTTTTGCATTACAGAACTGTTGCTAGTTTTAAAATATTTGAAATAGATTTGGCTGGAGTGCAGTGCTACAGCAGGTCTTCTGTAGCGGACAGCATGTCTTTTGTAGCGGACAGCAGGTCTTAAATCAACCCTTTAGGCAGTCGGAAGTTTTTTATATATCTGTTGACAAACTTCCTATGTATAAAATATGTTGAAATATATTCGAAAGGCTACACTTACGCAGTGGAATCCATTTATAAAGTATTGGAAGCGTCTCTTAAACGTTTTCTACTCATGGTCAGTTCCACTAAGCTCTCATCCTCTGATTGGCCACTCCGGTACCGCGTTGATGGTGCTGATGCGGTTGTTGCTGGTGTTATGGCCACGGTTGGCGTTTTGGCCGAAATGTACCATTTATGGTACTCTTTTTCCAGTTTGGTACGCAGGTACGTAGCTTTCAGAATTGGTACATTTTTTAATCTGACAAAATGAGAAAATGATTACTTATCTCATATACCTATTTAAAGTTCAAACCTTTGTGTGAAGCCAATCAGGCAAACCTGCTTTTACAGCAACACATTGTCTAACTTAGGTAATTGAAAAGGCATTGCTGTATAAGCAAATAGCCCTTTACGGGTTCCTTGACATTCAAGCAAATCCAAGGCCATGACAAGCCATGAAGATATTCCTAATGTAGTAACTGCATGGAACATAAGCATGTTTAATCCAGAACTATAATAGCAGAACAAAGAGACGTCAGGCATGCGATCCTGGAAAAGCAAAGGATTTTACGTAAGCTACTCATCTTCGTGGTGGGCTACAATGAAGACAACGTTGCCTCTAGATTGAAGAGAGTCTGACTGGGGTCAACTGAAAGTCTTATCTCATAGCTAGGCTCTCAGAGGCATTGACGTTTTGGGCATTCAATACAGTCACAAAACCGATTACTAAGTACAGTCCAGGAGGCTAAAAGTTAAGCAGCGATCTGTCTGCGTAACCATTATGGGAGCCATACGCACCTTCCCTACGGAAGCACTGTAATCATCACATACTATACTAATTGACAATGAGGCTTGCTGAAGCGATTTGTATCTCAGCAACTTGATGAGCATAGGAAGCCGGACCTTCAAGGGTTTTTGATAGTTTTAAAACCAATCTGTGAGGATCCCTCGTTAAACTTACAGACAAACTGTTACCGAAAGTATCTTTCCAGTAGCCCTACAAGGTAATAATTTCCCTAAGTCCCTAAGTCTACATTACACCTACATATGTATGTATATTTGATCGCAAGTCACGTTGAACTTTCAAGTGCTTAAGTTTATTAATTTTGTTCGAAAGTTCTTTGTAAAGGGGAACAAATTTTTTATTGCGGGCCCATCTTCTTCACGTAAAAATTTGGTTAATGGTTAGGTCTTTGATGTCTATTATACTCTGTCAATCCTAAAAATGCTCGCAAAGAGCGAAGTGTTCGAGGCTCTTGATATTTAAGTATCATAACTCCCTTTTTGGGCGCAGTGCTTAGACTCTTCTGCAAAACTACAAAACCAAGAGAATCAACTTCGGTTTTGAAACTTTTGTAAAAATGTTTTTATTTTTATTTGACTCAAAGTACTGCCATGGATTTTATTAACTCCCTTCGTAGTTCAATCAAGTTTGCTACCATCGAGTTCATGACTCTAAGTCGAGATTTCCAGTGGGAATTATTTACGTTAAATTTCGCAAATATATCACTGTTAAAATTGATATTTTAAAACTGATTTTAGCAATTATCGAACATTACAGAGTTTGGCGTTTCACCGATTATGAAGATGAGAAACATCAAGAATTCATCGTTACAGCCATCCAAAATTGGAGCGCTAAACTAGTGATTTCGATATTTCGTACACATTTTTTGGATCTTATTTTAAAGAGATCTTTTCAAATAAAGGTTGTAAAAGCCCAACCAACACGAAACAGTTGTTTATGTACATATTTGAATTTTTATCAGACCCTTTGTTTAAAAAAATCATCTTTACTGGAGTTCGTTGCAAACTTTGCTATTTAAAAAAATAAGCAACTCATCAAAAAAGTGTACGATTACACTAAGTAACAAAAAAAAAAAATTCTCGGTCCTTGGGATGTAATTGTTATTTCCTAGTCTGTTATGCCTTAAAAGTATGGAAACCACCTAATATTCCTCGGAAACTTTGCTTTTGTGACCAGGACAATGTGATTCATTAAAATATGCTAAAATTATGAGAAAAACGTGTTTGAGTCTTTCACTACAGAGAAAATCATACAGAACAGCACATATAAATCAAAACTAAATTTTATTAAAACTTCAGAAAACCAAAAACATAAAAGTAAATCAGAAGCGGGTGGTTTTTCGACATTTGCGTTTAAACTGCGAGTCACTTTCTCTAATCAATCCCCAAATGTAATCTCCCATCATGTTCTCATTGTATTGTCCTTGGTATCGCCGCTCAAATTCCATTATATCCTGATGGAAGCGCTCGCCTTGCTCCTCTGAATATGCTCCCATGTTCTCCTTGAATTTGTCAAGATGTGCATCCAGAATATGGAGTTTGAGAGACATCCTGCAGCCCATTTTGCCGTAGTTCTCCACCAGACTTTCGACCAGCTCCACGTAGTTTGCGGCTTTGTGATTGCCTAGGAATCCCTGTACCACTGACATAAAACTCATCCAAGCAGCTTTCTCAACACGAGTGAGCTTCTTGGGGAATTCCTCAGACTCGAAGATTTTCTTTATTTGTGGTCCAACGAAGATACCGGCTGTAACTTTCGCCTCAGAGAGCTTAGGGAACAAGTCTTGTAGGTACTTGAACGCTGAAGAATTTTTGTCGAGAGCTTTGACGAATTGCTTTATAAGACCCAGTTTGATGTGGAGTGGTGGCATCAGTACCTTCTGGGGGTCCACCAAGGGCTCCCACTTGACGTTGTTCCTCCCCACTGTGAATTCAGTTCGTTGTGGCCATTCACGCTTACATTCACAAAAGCAAAGTTATCTTGCGACAATAGCTGTTTTCTATACTTTTGGGACCTAACTGACTAGAAAATAACAATTACAACCCAGGGACAAAAACCTTGTTACATAATGTTATCGTTCAAATGTCACGACCTCATAAATCAATTTGGTCGGTATGTCGCACTGAGAAAGGTTGTTAGTCTGCTATGGTGTTGTAGATATGTATATACATACACTGCCGGAACAAAGTATTGACACAGCAAATTTTTCACAATATATGCAACCATTTTTATTCTAATATTTTTCCGCCAATTTTGTTTAAAAATATGGTTCATTCAACATCGGGGAAATCGAGTAATCAAGTTCTCGACACAATCTTGTGTATCGCCATTATCACGAGCAATTTCGATTAGTTATTGAGATATATATACGTACATACACCGAGAAAAAAATGCGTTGTAACAATGAAAATTGTTTATTTGATTACCGTTTAAACACGTTTGTATTTAAATCAAGTGAAAAGTAATAAAAAAATGTTTTTTTTTCCATTATACATACACTACGTATAATGGAAATATTCAATTTAAATATGCCCGTATTAAAATGAAGCATTTTTTACTGCACGGATGGCGTTTTGAACGTCTTGGATGCTTTTTCATATGTAATTAATAAAGTATATGTATACAAAGGGTGCACAGCGGTGGCAACACATACACACATACATACATGGTATGACATAATGCACTAATCGCGCGCTGTGATGTTGATTCAAACTCAAGATTGGAAAACACATTTACATGTATGGCTGTAGCTGAGTGTGCAAAGACGCTTGATACAATTGGTTGCAGCCAAGAGGGTCCTGGTTCAATTACCATCAGACGGAACATAAAATTAATTTTGTTCCCCCTTCTTAATTACGAAAATGCATATGTGCGTTTCACAACGACATATTTTATAACGTACATACTCAAATTTAAAAAGAGTTGGGTTGGTGCTCTTTCATATGCGTATTTTTTTTTAATTTAGCACGTTTTTTTTTAATTCTAAAATTTTTTCCCCCAGTGTATGTAAAAGCATATCGAACCCATGATACAAAAAGAAGGTAGTTTCATTTCAAACTTTTTGACAAAAAATAAGTTTTTGAAGTTTCATACATTGTACAAAATTGTGAGCTACCTTGCCACATTGATAGCAATCAAACAATACATCAGAAGATTTAATGTTGTGCGTGGGAAATGTTCGGTTATTTGCCCAATGATTGTTTTGTGAGGAGCGGAGGGGGAAGGGGTGTGTCTCCTAAAACTAATTAGAAAGAGCACAGCATAAACTTTAACTAAAGTCATCCTTCGCCAGCCCTGCCCCTTCTAAAGGCACTCGGATGCCCATTTCAAAATGGGGTAAAATTAGCATTTTCGCAAAGAAAAATTAAACTCGTGTTAGGCCATCAGCAGTATTTTTGCGCAAAACTCTTTTTTCCGTTGGTGGTCTTCGGCCGCGCTACAAAAAATTGCCTCATCAGTCCAACTACGGTTGCGCCATCCACAGTATTTTTTCGCAAAATCCACCTCCAAATTAACAAAAAAGTGCATATTTGAAACCGCAACTTTTTTTTTTAAATTAAAGCTTTATCCTTTGATTAGGCGTATATGTTAAAATTTTTTGATTCGGGTCACGTGTTTGCACATGATAACCCAAAATCATTGTACAAATAAACGAACCGTACCCGAACTGCAGTAGCTTTCATCTTATGTGGATAATGCCTCTCAGAAATACATAGTTTTGTGCCTCTGTATCTGTGTATGTATGTATATATATATTTTAGCAGCGTCACATCTTTATCAGAAAATTTCGAGGATCCAAAAAGCTACAAGTCGCCGGGCAGCTTTTTAACTCGACCTCCTCCCTCTTCTACGTATAACGGTACCTCGTTTAAAGGTTTGAAAGTACTTTGTGTCAGCAATTTGTCTTCAAACTGCATTAGATTTTATTACGTACTTCCTGGGAAAAACAAAAAACTTTATTTTCGAACTTTTGCAAAGGTGTACCAAATTCTTGCAGTTTCGAAACGCGCAAGACTTTTCTTTTAATATTTTTATCCAACTTCACTAACTTAAATGTTCAAGAAACCAAAATTTTAGTTCGATGTATATGCTGTGCGGAGACTGGCAAACGAAGCGGATTTTGTGACTATAAGCCTGCTCACATTAAAAACGGGGGATGAACGAACGCCTGCGCATAGCGTACAGTGCTTGCAAATACAGCCACCAGAGATGTAGTTTAGGTTTAACGTGGGTACCTTCCGCAATCTAATGCAGTCCAAGCTCCACGGTATGGAATGGACACACTAACCACCTTGGTAGGGTTCGAGGCTTATCTAAACCTCTGCCATGCTATGGGTCCGGCACCCCATTGCAATGCAACTCCACATCGAGCCAGAACGACTCTCCCCGCATTTGGGTTTAAACCACAGCCACCAAGATACTCCCCGTAGGACCAAGCCGCACGAGCAGATTGGAGCAAGCTCCAATGGCAACTGCTCCCCGTGGTACCAGAATTCCAGTGACGAGCGATACTGTAACAGCTTTCACTAACTCTGCAAACAATGATCCCGGAAACGAAAACCAACAACAAATTTGATGAACACTTTTTTTAGTTTAATTCAGTGTGTTCTTAGCTTTATTATATTATAAAAACTTAGTTATGGGTTGACAATTTAGTACTAAAACAAATATTTAACTTAATAAACCTAAGTGTTACAGTTTTGCACCTTTTGTGTAATTGGAATATTAGATACGAAATTAGTATTTGGTCCAAAAACCCTTGGCTTTTTTCAAAGCGTTTAGCCGACTAGGCATACTCTTTGTGTATTTGGTAACAAATTCAGGGGGTATTGCCTGCCAAACATCGTGTGTGTGCTCCCGCAACTCGTTTACCCCCTTTGGAGGATTCGGGTACTTTGCCAGCTGCGCCTTGACATGACTCCACAGGTTTTCGATGGGATTCATATCCGGTGATTGAGGTGGCCACTTAAGAATGACAAATTTTTGACGCTGCAACCAACCTTGTACCACTTTCGCCGTATGCTTCGGGTCATTGTCTTGCTGAAAAATTACTTTTTCAGCAGCTAGACCCATATTTTCTACGACTGATGGCAAATTTTGTTGCAAAATGATGAGGTATTGCTCCTTACGCATGATACCATCGATAAGAACTAGACGACCTACTCCATTTTTGGATATACATCCCAAACCATGATTGATCCACCACCGTGCGTTACAGTTTGGGAAACGTGGTGTGGTTTAACTGTATTTGGGTCCCGTGTATAGTACCAAGATCGTCCATCGGACTGATACCGATTAATTTTGGTCTCAACAGACCATATAACCTTTAAAATAAATTATTTAAAAAATTAAAAAAAAAAACTTGTTTTCACCTTACCGTATCCCAGTCTTCTTCAGTCCAATGCTCGTGCGCTGAAGCGAAACCTCGGCGAAGTCGCACGTGTTTTTTTGTTAACATTGGTTTTTTCTTTTTCTCTGCTACTTTGAGACCAAGTTTTTTTAATGCACGACGCGCTGTTCATGCACTTGCGCCAATGTTTAGAGTTTTTAGAGCAGCTGCGGGTGTTATCGCACTATCTGAAGTTACCAGTTGAGCGAGATGGCGGCATTGGCGGTCGGTAATTTTTCTGGGCCGGCCACCTTTGTTGTTGGACGAGACGTCCAAATAGTTTTTATTTATCCTTTGTACGGTCATGTGGCTTATTTTAAACTTTTTAGCGATTTCACGCAGAGATTCTTTCTCCTTTAATAATTTCAAAATTCCGTCCCTAATTTCCGGCAACATGAACACGTTCAATAGTTCACAACTGAATGATCACATAATCACCAAAAAAATGCCTTGAACCTTGCATATTAAACAAAAGTAGCGGTACTCAACAAAAAAAGTGACGCGCGAGCATAATTGTAACACTTCAGTTGGTTTAGTTTTTCGCTGTACATACTAGCTTATTGTTTTTGGATGCTACCGCATTTACACTGAATGGTAAAACAATATACCCACATACAATATTTTAATGGAAAATTTAAATTTTAAATTCTACCAGATGGTATATACTGAGTTGAAGCAAAAACGACGTTGATGTGTTACAGTATTGATCGTCACTGTAAGTCTCCGGTCAGTCTCCGGCCGAAGCCACTGCCAGTTGAGTTACCATACTACTCTGGACTGGTGGCCATCACCCCATCCACCTTCCTACTCGAATCGTCCTCGCCTTCTAAAAACTTCCCGTGCAAAGGCCACCAAGTTCGTCACCGTCAAATGTGTGGAGAGGGTACTACCGAAGTCGTACCGTCCATCCGTCCATTTTACCCCCATGCTGAAAAGATTCCTTACGTCCGTATCTTGGGCATTCGCAAAGCACGTGCTCGACATCCTCAAGCTCCGCTCCACACTCACACCCCTCAGAGTCATGGAGGTTCCTCTTGCGCAAATAAGCATTAAGAGGAACATGCCCCGTTAGTAGAAAATCCAAAGTCATGTTTATGCCTCTTCTCATCCTGAAGGTCACAGCACGCGCTATAACCACTAGGTCAAGGGGAGGCACTCCCATTAATACCTAAAGTGCATCCGTAGAGACGGTGCGACACACCGGAAGACCCAGCAACAATACCCTTTGACAGGGTAGGACCTTCTGGCGACCTGCAACCTTCATAACTGTTTCGTACCAAACAGCGGACCCAAAAGTGGCACAAGCCACGAATAGGCCCCGATAGATGGCACGAACAGCACGTCGGCCGAGGCCCCAGTCACATCTCAGGATGCGACGTACCTTTCCCACAACACGCAACGAGGCGCTCCTTAAGGCACATCAGGTGGGGAGCAAAGCTCATGCGTTCCCCGATGGTCAGCCCCAAATACCGGACTCGCGTCACATATCTTAGACTGACCCCGTTAACGCGAACTACCGGTGTACGTCCCAATGAAAACTTCCCCTTGAGCAACATTGTCACCGACTTGCCAACCGAAATGTCCACGCCCATACGTTACCCCCAGCTACCGACGATCTCAAGCAACCGTTCCCCCTGCCTCTCAATATCTGAC